TCATGGCAGAACAATAAATTTTGCATTTTTGCTGCCAGGAATAGGGAAAGGCATTTCTGGAATTTAACTCTGGTGGCAAAGTAATTTCTTTTCTCAGACAGCAACATATATTGAGTCAGCCCTGAATTTCTCTGGGAAATTCAGTGGTGGTGTCACAGCATGATTTACTATAGGTTGGGGGAAGTATGATGTTGCCTTTGAAAAGAAAAAAGGAAATAATGTCAAAACTCAGGCTTTACTGGCTGGGTTTGGTCCTGGCTACAAGACTCCCAATGTCCACTAAATGGCAACAAAGAGATATCAAAACAGTTCCTCTTTGCTGCAATCTAGGAGGCATTCATATTTCTGCACCCAGATCTGACAGCTGTAGACCACGTTTCTCAACCTTGGCAACTTTAAGATGTGTGAACTTCAACTCACAGAATTCCCGAGCCAATGAACTGGGAACCAGAAGTCTACACATCTTAAAGTCGTTGAGGCTGAGAAACACTGCTGTAGACCCAGTGCTCTGAGATGAGAGAAAACACAGCAGCAAACTGTAATTGGCCTTAATTCTTTGGTATAATGGCTAAGCTATTAGCCTAGGAGCAGGGAAACCCAGGTTCTAGCCTGCTTTTGGCCATGGAAGCTCACTGAGTGACTTTGAGTCAGGCACTCTCTCTCAGCCCAACTGGCCCCTCCTCCAAATTGGGGTGAAGAAAATAGAAAGAGGGAGCACTGTCTAGGCTGGTTTTTGTTTTTGGTTTTGCTCCCAAAAGAAAGGTAGGATATAAATTTATTAACTTTATTATCACATTTTTATTATATGTGAGTGGCTCAGTTTGCATGGCATGCTTATTCATGGTCTACTTGAACTCAATGAACCCAATTTTCTGGGTTTGCCTGAAACAGCAAGCCATAAATTTACCATACAAGCTGGGTTCACATAAATCCTAGGCTAGTTTGCAGCTCACTGCATCGTGCAAAGCAACAACTAATCTTCTTCTCAATCTTATATCAGCCATTTTTGGAGTGTTCTCAGCAGGAGTGTCCACAGGGCATGGTCAAGCAAATCATGAGAGTGGATCAAAGCTCCACCCATATTTATGTGCAGATGAAAAAAGGATGGAGCTGTCACAGCCGCCCTCCTGACTTTTTTTCACCATGCCCTGTGACACTTCTGAACCTGACCAGAAGGGAAGATAACAAAGGCTTAAAGAGTGATGGACCTCCATCCCTTTTCCTTTTGGAGTTGGCTTATCTCCAAGAAAAAAGGCCTTTTGACTAGAATGGCCCCAGAGGAAAAGAGATGGAAGTGGCTTGATCTGGAAGTTAAGTGACTCAAAAGGTGTCCAGCTAACACAGTCTTAACCAGATTGGTAGCTCTGCCAGATGCTGTTGCTCCTTGCGATGCATTATGAAAGATAGCAAACACCCCCCCTTCCCGCCCCTCTACTTTCCACCAGATGGCCATCTAGAGCAGTGTTTCTCGACCTTGCTGGCTGGGGAATTCTGGGAGTTGAAGTCCACATATCTTAAAGTTGCTAAGATTGAGAAACACTGATCTAGACATTCATTTTCTTAATCACTCATCCACTCCCTCCATCTATCTGGCTGTTTCTTTTGATCTGTAGGTCCTGACAGCATCCGCCCAATGATTTTTAAAGAATTCAGATGGGAAATTACTACCCTCCTAATAAAAATATCAGGCTCACTGCCAAAGAACTGGAGGATCACCAGTGTGACACCAATTTCTAAAAAGGACCTGGGGAAAATCCTGAAAATTATAGGCTGGTTGGTTTAACATCTATTCTGGCCAAATTGGTAGAAATTAGATTCAAAAATAAAGCAAATACCTGAGCACATCAAGGAATAAGCCTTGATGGAGGAAAGTCAGCATGGATTTTGCAGAGATAAATCCTGCCTCCCCAATCTTCTAGAGTGTCAGGAAGCCCAGGGACAGAGATAACTCTGCTAACATTTTATTTATTTATTTATTTACTCACTTACTTACTTACTTACTTATTTATTTATTTATCAGATTTATATCACCACCCAGCTCCCCCACAAGGAGGGACTCTGGGCGGTTCACGACCAAACAATTTAAAACCAATAAAAACAAATAATACAGCATAAAATACAATTATTAAATATGATAAAATCCAAGTGATGGTGGTATTATTGCAGCCTGGGACCAGATAATATTGGTCAAAGGT